GAAACAATTATCTTATCTTTATCTTTTCATTCATTCATTGATGGAATATGTCTAAATATGTGTTTATTATATTGCTTTATAATTTGAAGTGTAGAATTCAAAAATAGTCAAAATGATCGTTAATTGTATTTTCACTTTTATTATAAAAAATATTTCACATTCGAGTTTTCACTGTGATTAAATTTCTACAATTACATATTTTGGGAAAAAAATCCTATCAATTTCGAATCAGCAAAACTCAATAAATTTTTGTTTGAAGTAATTTTATGGTGGTTGGCTGAAATTATGGTCTTAATTTAAATTACCGTGAAAACTCGTGAATATTATTTTCTTATCAAAATAAATAATCACATCAAGTTTAAAGAAATTTCAATCAAAAAAATAGCCTGTTCAAAGTTTCACATCATTACGATACCACAAAGGCATGTCTTCCATACAAAAATAAATTTTTTTGTGGATTTTTGTATGAAAAGTCTGTGAAAATTTGATTGCATCTTTAAACTAACAAAAGATTCGGGTTTCTCGTGCCAAAAAACCTCCCACTTCACATTCTTTCAGCGTTCAAATTGAAAGAATATCATTTTAAGGCATTTTTCTCATAAGTGCCTCTTCAGAGTCTACGTTTTACACCGATCAATCAATGTCGTTGAAAATTTGACCAGATCTATTCCTCATAGTGCCCAATCATCCCGTAAAGTCAGATTTTGAATTTCATGTCTGAGCACGAAACCATCGTGTCACCAAAATGGTTGAAAAATGGTTGAAAAATGGTCAAAAAGTAAAATGTATGGATGTGGGTACTTCATTCGGACCAAAAAATATTACACCGGTCAACAGATATTGTTCAAAAACTAATCAGCACGTCTCCTAGTAGTCCCAAATCATCCTGCAAAGTCAGAATTTGAATTGAGTTTTTGGAAAAAGACTTATCGTGTCAACAAATTTTGCACGCCACAGGACACATCAAACACAGCGACGCACATTAATATGCCCCAAAATCATCTCCAATCGTGTTTTCTACATTAAATATGCATAGAAAACATGTTTTGGGATGACTTTAATTTTTTGGCCTAATACAATACCTTTTCTACACAAGGTGTGCGGAAAAGTGAAAAATTCTGATTTTACTACTTTCAAGTCGTCGCCTAACAATAATCACATTAAAGTTGTGGTTAATACAAAGCCGTTAAATGAATGCAACCAGACTTGTTTGAATTATAATACAGTACTGTGGAATCTGGCATCTTTTCGAGATGGCATTGACTTATTAATTATCCAGCTACTTCGTCTAGTATTTTCGGATATTTTGATTTTATTTCTGTTAAATTGTATTCATGACTTCAGGTAGGTCGAAGATCATTCGATAAATTTTCAGTTCGTTCCTGAAATGTTTCCATACTCTTTTTTGTCCCGTAAAGCCATACTATTTTTGTTTGATCGTAAATATCTTCTCAATCATATTACTTTGTTTTGGTTTTAATATCTCATCTAATGTATTTAATATATGAAGTGATAGCACTTCAACAACAGGAACCGAGTTGATAACGGATACAAAAAAACGTGGAATTACAGACGGTTTTCAGACATTCATAATTCTCTACCCTTTAAAAAATTTATTTACATCATGCTGAATTGTTGTGTATCTCCCAATTCTCCCATACACTCATACAATTCACAAGCACACAAACAACAATTATCAAATGTTTCAATTCTGGATGTCGCTATATTGATATATGTGTATAAAACTGTGTACTTTACGCCGAATAGACTGACGATTAGACTGACGCTATAAATATAAATGGCAATACACATTTGCACTATTTGTGTTTGTGTCACACACACGAAAAGTACGCAATACGCTTCACCTTCGTTTTCACGTATCTAACGTGCATGCTCACACAGCTCAACGTACACAGAGACGGCAAACTAAGGGAAAGCGTCCATCATTCAGTGTGTAGGCGATACAAGCGGCGAAATATATGCTAATATATTTATAGCGTCGGTCTTATCGCTAGTATTATAGACTACGACCTCGATTATCTGTCACTTTCGTTAGCCGTCAGTCTCAAAAATTTTAAGTCAACATTCGGGAGACTTCTCAACTTTTGAATTATTTGCAATGAAATGGAACATTGACAAAAAAACTTCCAAATTGTTGTGATTGCCGTTGACGGTCTTTTTGATCATCCGACATATCCTCGACGAATAATCGAGGTAGTACTGTAATTAATAACAACACAAAACCAATACTTGAAAAATGCAAGCATTATGTAAATGTGAACAAATTGGTAATGAATCATTTGGTGATAGTAAATATTCGACTGCATCGAAATGTTGAAATTATCAACACTTCCTTTCGAAATTATATGAAAAACACCAAACCAGATTGTTCTACTTTGTAAATACAGTAGTGTCTCGCTGAATTTTTTGATATGCCGTCACGGGACCAATTCCGTACTCGGAACATTAATCGCGATTGTGCTGTAGGTCACGAAGAGAGCAATTTTTGAACATCAACAACGAAAATTATGCGATAAGTTTCAATGAATTGGCAGTGGCTGTTTGTATGCTTGTTTGTACGTGCACGAATTTCATTTGAGAATCAAGTTTAACATATTACGGAATGAAAATTGTTCGAAAATTATTTAATTTGCATTCATAAAATTATCAAAACAACGTAACATTGTTAAAATGCATGTGTCAAGGCTGAAAGCGATAAAATATTCTTATAAAATCATAGTTTTTATTTCTTTATTTTTCGTACTAATTTTGTTGTATCAATGTACATTAAATACCATTCCCCGATTGTTCACATCGTCAGGTGTGCAGAAAAGTCAAAACGACACTGACGCTTTAGATTATCCCAACTTTAATAAAACTGAACTTGAACAGATCGAAAGTGCAAGAGAATGCTACAGATTAAAGGACACCGATGAACGATTGGTATTTTTGGATGATGTTATGCAGTCGCGACCAGAACCTGATAAGGCGATATTTTTCATTAGTACATCATGCGCAAAAAATGGTAGCCGAGTTACATTGAATTCAAGGTACGCTAAAAGATCTCACAATTTCAAACAACATGTGCCCAATACATGATCCGATCAATGGAAGTGTCCAAAATGTACTTTACTGAATAAAATTTGTCTTCAATTCCACAGACAAGCTTGTTCAATTGAATCGGCTGCAAAATGGAATCCCAAACGTGATATATTTGTTTTATTTGTAGCGCGTGTTGGTTTCATTCCCGATGAAGAGCCATCGCTAATTGTGAGCACATTAAAATCATATCCAAATATTCACTTTCGCAATCTTGACTTATACAACTATTCAATGGGAACATTGGGCGAATATTGGATAAAAAAAGACCTAATTTTTTCCACATCATATCATCTGGCGCATCTTTCCGATTATTTACGATTTTTGACACTGTTCAAATTCGGCGGCGTTTATATGGATATGGATATAATTGTTCGAAAGACCCTTGATGGATTTCCACCAAATTTTGGCGGCGAAGAGGATCCCAATTCCATTAATTGTGCTATCCTTGGATTGGAGTCAAAAGACGCTGGTCATAAGATATCGGAATTAGTTGTGCGGTATAAAGTCTTTGAACTTTCAAACCATTTTAATAGTATTGATAAAAATTCAAATGCTTTAATTGTTGAAACAGAGAAAATACGGAACATTATAAACCATACGAATGGGCATACAGTGGTCCAGGAGCTTTATCACGAGGTTCTTTTTTAATATGATTAATTTTTCCTTTTTTTAATTTAATTATATTAAGATTTTATTTTAAATTAGTTTTGAGCGAAATATGCCATTGTCCAAAAAACAGAATATCACAAGCACGACCCGAATTCTGTTGGGGCTTTAAAATATTTCCACAATCAGAGGTTTGACGCAAATCATTATTGATCGAATTTATTTTGAATTTTAATTTAAAAAAAAAAACTTTTTTTCTTCACCATCATAGTTTTATGCCATTCACTGGTCACGACCAAATGACACAGTTAGCACAGATAAATGGACCGTTGACTATACTTTAGAAAAGATTAAACATTCAACTGCTGTTCATATGTGGAATAGTCGCATACATGGATCTCCGATATTGAAATCGCAACGAACGGTTTATAAAATATTAGCTGAAAAAAATTGCCCAAGAATTTATGACGCATCCGATACGGTGTTTTAAAGAAAATTTGATGCAAGAGCAGGATACATATAATGGATTATAATAATTATCCTTAAGGAAACGAAAACATTCAAGTCAAATTTTGTATTAAATAACTGAAAAAAAGACAGTAAAAGTTACGTTGATGAAAAAAAAAAACTGAACAATACATGGTTTATTTATTTTGTTCCATGTGAAATGGGAAAATGTTTTTTCATCGAAATTCGGTACCTTTATTTGAAGCGGCTCCTTATTTAAACTATAACATATTATTATTAACATTCAAACTTCCACATGAATCACTTTATATATATGAAACTAAAATCAAATGACTCAAATCCCTCATCTTTTGACCTGATATAATTTAACATATAATCTATTACGCTTAAAAGTGTCTTTTGCTGCTTTGGAACTGTATTCAATTATTCTTTATAATTTCATTTAATTTGTACAATATTGATATTCAATTAGATCTTGTTCACAAATAAAATAGTTTTTTCTATCACAAGAACAATCATTCCATTTATAAGAACCATAAATTTCCATACACTTTTCGCTATTGTGGTCGTTGCTTGGTTGACCTTTTCCCCAATCCGTAAAATTCATTCGTTTGCCATTTCCCATCCACTCCCACGTAACATCGTCGCTTAATCTTGTTCCCGAAGTCCAAATCCTTCCTCCACCGTAACCTAAAATTGGTAAATATTGAGGTTTATTTTTGAAAAAAAAAACTCACTAAATGATACTGATAATGTCGCGGTAAGTTAATATCCCAAATTGTTTCTACTTTGAGGTTTTACAGACAATATTTTTTTCCTGACCTATATTTTTCTACACAGCCTGGTTGACTTGACTTAAACATATACGTCAATGTAAAATTACCTTCATCTTTTAGTTGCTTTGTAATTCGATTGTTTTCTGCTTGCGATGAAATGCTAACCAAATGCATACCAATTGAATGGCAATGTGATAAGGCGCCGTGCCAAGTGGCCTGAATATATTTTAAATTAAACACGTTTGATTATCAAATCTAAAGAATTTATGCATTAACAATTCATATTTTCTACAAAACTTACTGCAAATTTAATTAGATGATATTTTTTGGTGATTGCATGCTTCGGATAGAACATTTGACCATAAATCGGACCTGAAAATGATGTAAATAAAATTAAATGCTGGTATTTTATTAAAAAAAATTATTTTTTATAGATTTTCACATCGGTAATATGTGTCGGTATACCTATTAATACAAACAGCAAAATGCTGGCAATTACACTTCGTTTCATTTCCATTCAAATCAAATTGACTTTTCGTTAAATTTGTTAAATGAAACTTTTTTCTTTCCATAAAACCCTAACCTCGATTGGATTTAAACTTTATATTCGATTCATGAATTTATAAGCAGCGCAATCATTACACCTTATTGCTTGTTTTTAATCTTATAACTGAAATTCATTTGACGCGACCAGCCAAATATATGACGATTTATCAAGAACAATTTTTTAATATAGATTATGTCCAGAAAAGAAGTTCATTAGTTCATTGAAATTGCGATGCAGTACTTATTTTAATTTTTGATGTTTTTTGAATATTGACCTGAGAGCTAGCCTGGGAACCATGCCTGTACGACATCATGTAATGAAATTTTGCACAGACTATTTTTTGCACAAAAAATAACATTCCAAAAGTTTGAAAAAATGTCAATGCAAATGGAAGATACCTACCATACAAAAATTTCGTTTTTGAGCAAAAAATTCCATATTTTTGATTGAAAATTCCTCAAACTTGATGAGAGCATGTATTTTGATAAGAAAAATAGATTCAAAAAAGATATCTCTCTGTTTATCCGACAGGGCTTCAGAGATTGCAAGGAGAGCCGGACCAATTTTCTTAAATCGAACCACCCTACTATACGCGTACGTCGAGATACGTCAGTTCACAGACGAAACAACTGTATCAAACATGTTGATTTGCATGTTTATGATGTACATAATGAAAATTATCGCAAATAATATATTTAAAAAATGCATATGTGAGTAAGACTTATGGTTTTAGATTAACCGGAAGCTATCATATTATAATTTGCAAACTTCGGATTTAATGTTCTGAAATCGTTGGCATTGAATTGGCTTCATTAAAAAAATTCTCAAACGGAGTAAACAAGTATTATAATAAAAGAAAAAATATATGTCGTGATGAGTTTGTCTCTTTTAATTTGTGCAATATTCATATTCAATTAAATCTTGTTCGCAAATAAAATGGATGCATGATCTCGATTTTTGTTAAAAATCTGGATACATTTCTCGTCAGTGTTGCCCGAACTCCCTGGTTGACCAGAAGCCCAATTGGTAAATGTGACCCGTTTACCGTTTCCCATCCATTCCCACGTAATATTGTCGCTCAATTTTGTTCCCGATGTCCAAAGTTTACTTTCTTCATGACCTATTGACCAAATTTATAATAAATAAAGACATTTTTCCTGTCAATTTTTGTTTGAATCAAGTGATCTTAATGCAGACGGCCATACGGTCGTATAGATTTTTTCTTAATAAGTAATTGTATTAAGTTCAGTCGTAATTACCTTCGTCTCTAATTTGTTGTACGATTCGATCTTGTTCTGCTTTCGATGAAATACTTACCAAATTCATCTCAAGTGAGCGGCAGTGAATGAATGATTTGTACCAATTTGCCTGCATTTATTCGAAATCAAACACGTTTCGTTATAAACTCCATACAATCTATACTTTCTATTCACCTTTGACAAAGTAAAGAAGTGATATTTTTTGTTTATTTTATGCCTCGGATAGAACAGCTGACCAAAAATCGGCGCTACCACGGAGATTGAACAGAAAATCAATTATTATTGAACTTTTTTTTGCTTTGGCCGAAAATCGGAATAATAATTTGAAGATTTGTGTTTCAATTTGGTTTCTATTTTATTTCAGATATTTTTTATATATTGCTTTCAATATGTTTCGGTATACCTATTAATGCAAAGAAAAAAATGCTTCCAATTACACCTCTCTTCAGTTCCATTTAATTAGTATGAATTTCCGTTTTAAATTTATTGGCTGAAAAAATCTGTATTTCTCCAACACTTTTAAAATTATTTTTTTTAAATAAAAATTTAACTGAATTGTAATTTTAATTTCAGCTTGCAGTCCGAATCGAATGTTATAACTGAATTTAATTTGATACAATCGGCGTTATGTATTCAATAATTCATGAAAATGAATGGAGAGGAGGTGTTTTGGATCTTAATGTGATGCGTTATAAAGACAACAAAAAAGTTAGTAATTATTATTTAACTGGAACTCAAATTAGTGGCGCTATCTCGTACAGAGTGTGTATGTATTGATTACAATGCATGCAACAGTTCATATAACGGAATGACTTATATTCTCGATAGGGAATTTTTATTTCATTTTTTTTTATTGATAAAGATTGCCGGCATTTTTATTGCTTCGAGGTCATTAACTTAATATAGGTTATTTCAAGAAATTAAATTGTTGCGATTATGATGCAAGTTAAAGGGAAAATCACAAAAAAATTGAATAATTGAAAAAATATTGGGTGTATCGATTAATTTTAAAGGATTTTTGTGTGAAAAGATACATTTATTTAAAAACAACTGTACAATATTTTTTAACCAATGTATTGCCCATCGTTGGCTATGACTTCCGCCCATCTTCTTGGTAGCTTGTCGATTCCGCGTCGAAAGAATTCCTCATCTTTTCCAGCTATCCATTCATCGACCCATTTTCGCACTCCTTCAGGATTTCGAAACGATATCTCAGACAAGCCCATTTGCATCGAACGGAATAAGTGATAATCAGAAGGAGCAAGGTCTGGAGAGTACGCGGGTTGATCAAGCCGATCCCATCCGAAGTCTTCTACCTTTTTTTTAACGATGGCTGTACGATGTGGCCTTGCATTGTCATCATGAAACATAACTTTGTCTTGTTTAGACGCTATCCGTGGCCGTTTATTCTTCAATGCATGTTCCATTTTGATTAATTGCATTCGGTAGCGATCACCTGTAACCGTTTCACCAGGTTTTAGCAGTTCATTATAGATGACAGCTTTCTGATCCCACCAAATACACAGCATAACCTTCTGGCAATGAATATCTCGTTTTGACTGCGATGGTCCTGGTTGGCCCGGATCAACATACGCTGCTTTACGTTTGGGGTTATCGTAATAGACCCACTTTTCATCGCCAGTGACAATTCGACTCAAAAAACTATGTTTTTTGTTCTTGGCAAGATTTTGTTTGCATGCTGTGATTCGTGCTCTCAATTGATTTTCATTCAGTAGATGTGGCACCCATTTTCCCAACTTTCGGATCTTTCCCATTGCTTGCAAACGTTCACAAATGGTTGATTGAGTGACATTTAACTCTAATGCTAGATCCTTTTGCGTTTGACATGCATTTTCATCGAGTAATGCTTGCAATTCTGCATCTTCGAACTTTTTTGGCTGACCTGGCCGTTCTTTGTCTTCCATGTCGAAATTACCACTTTTAAAGCGTCGAAACCTATACTCACATGTTGAAATCGATGGAGTATGGTCGGAACCATAAGTTTCAAACAATAATCGATGGCTCTCAGCGGCACTTTTCTTCGAATTAAAGAAGAATAGTAAAACTTCCCGCAAATGCTGTTTTTTTGGCACGTATGATGACATGATTCTAAGCGAAAAAAATTGTGTTGTTTACACTTTGACAAGATAACACATTCTGGAAAGTAATGTCAAATGATGTGGCTTTCACGTGAATATAGTTACAGTATGGTCCGATGCGTTATGATACAAGTTACGACATCTATTATCAATCCTTTAAAATTAATCGATACACCCAATATTCGAAAAAATTAAATAAAAAATTCAAAAAATAAAAAAAAATTGAAAATAATTTACAATTTTCGTTACAAAAATTAAAGAAACGTCTGATTTTTTTTCAATGATTTTTCGGTGATTCTTCCCTTTTTAAGCCAATTAATGATAAGGCCATAATACTTTGTCTCGTTGCTTTCACTTTATAGTGTATCAGTTTTTTATAAAGAAAACAGTGACCGGTTCGCGCATATTTCTATGCCTGATAGCTATGCTAAGCATAGCGGAGACGTAAGCCGCAACGCACCCGTCGCCATTCGATTCGAGCTATATTGTATGCGCACGGTCGTCTGCATAAACGAACATGTGTATTGTTCATATAGAGTGAACGGCGATGCGTCGGTTGCGTTTGCGGCTATGCTTGGCATATCTATGCTACCTAGCGTATTTAGGCAAGCATAGAAATATGCGCGAACCGGTCACTGAAAGAAAATATTTGTAAAAGTATGTTTGTTTGTTTTTTTTTACAATTTTCAAAAGTATGTTTGTTGAATTAATTAAATATCTTGAAAAATGGTGCAAAAACGACAAGCAAAACTATTCAATTGAAAAAAAAAAAATGAATGGAACAATGAATAAAATATTGTAGGTCATACATGACTGAACCAAACTGACTAATTATGGAAAAATAAAAAAATATTCTTAATCTCGGGAGACTGCTTATCAAATAATATTAATCAATTTGGAATGTTGCATACAAAAACATTTAGAATTAATTTTTTAAATTGGTAATGATGCTTTGTTCTTCATCTTAAAACGATTTTTCCAAAAATCATGATTTCTAATTCTAATGTGAGTTCATTTCAATGTCAATTCAAAACACCTTACCCTAGGTATGCGGAAAAGTAAAATGCTATGCTTAAACTTAAATGTATATTTCTTAAAACAACAGGATTAGTCGATTTCAAATCTGGCCTCGTCGTCTCGTCTGTTGTAGTCATTTGATTTTCTGATCATTTTTCGAACTGTTTTTTTTTTTCAGTTATCTCGTCTATTTCCTGTAAAATAGGAAGAAGAGAAAAAATCGATTAAAAAACGAATAAATAATTTGCTATCAATCAAGTACCTTCGAAGCTTCGTTACTAATCCAATTCATCTTTCTCTCTTTTGATTCTATCATAGTCACCTTTTTCGGCCATCAATCTAGCTAAAAAGCTTCCAAAACTTCGTGAATAATCGTATTCAGTGCCTTGTGTATTGAATTTATTAACGACGAGCCCATTGCCAAAAATCAACTCACTGCGCCAATATCGAAGTTGTATAAAATTCAAATACATGGTCGATGCATCCTCCGTTACCCCATGTGTTTTGATTTTGTGTTTCATCAAATAGAATGGGTCGTCGGTGCGATATGAACATGATTCACATTTTAGTATGTATTTGTGGTACTCCAAATGGTCATGGAATGAATTTGGATCGATTTGTATGTGACAACAGTCGCCAATGAGTTTGACGCTTTCACGATCCACAAATGCTTCGGACAATTTTTCCAATTTGATGTGTTTTGTCGAATGATGGGTGCGATATTCGTCACGTGTCTCAAACACCTCCTTACAATATTCACACTTGAACTTCTTGTGTACCGAAATTTGCAAAAGTCTCAGTAAATTTTCATTGCTCAACGGTATGGGGTTGAGAACGTTGGCTTCCACGGCCAAATGGTGTTCGGTTTGAAAGTGCTCGGTGAGTTCATCAAAGGCGTAGTTACACAATGCGCATTGTTTTGTATCATGGAATGCTTTGATCGCAACAAATGCTTCATTCGGATGTGATTTGGCTACATGCTCTTTGAGTCCATCAAATGTGCTCATAATATTACAATAATTGCATGCAACTAATTCGGTCATATAAAATTGAAACGGTTTCTTATCGTTGCGTTTGTGTACATTTTTCCAATGGCGATAGATCCCATCCGTTGTGCTGCTGCACATCAGTTTTTTGCCCGTCGAGTTCTCGCAAAATTTGCAGAAAAATAGCATATTTCGATCGAAGTCGATGTCCTCCTTCTTCGCATATGCCGCATCATTAAGCCATTTAAATGCCCGTTTCACCGTCAATGCATGCGCTGGATGAGCGCTGGTGTAATGCATGAGCCACCGGTGATTGTTGTGAAAGTACTCGTTACACATGCCACACACAAGTACCTCACAGTAATTCAGTACCGAGTCATCGATCGAACGGGTGACCTTCAAATCGGACGTGGTCGCCTTTATCAATTTCAACGATTTAAAATCGATTGTACTCTCAGCGTGCGCTTCTTTAAAGTGTTCATAAACCGATGCAATATTCTTCACCCGTTCACCGCACAGTGCACAATCCAATACGATTTCAATTTTTTCGCTATCGGCCACACCATCGATAACACGTAAATTTCGCCAAAATTTCAACTGCGATTCATCCGAATGTTCGTCGATGATGTGATCACGAATTTCCGCCTCTGTTGTGACAATCAGTTCACAGTAGAAACATTGATGCAAACAACTACCATGCGATTCAATGTGTGTGAGAACATTTTGAATGGCCACTGTCGACTCGACACGACGATTGATCAATAGCTTGCAATGGGGACAAAAAAATGTTTTAAAAATACTGTGCGCTTTGAAAAAATGATCCGAATACTCGCCAAAATACTCGCTATGGAAAGAGCAGTAGCCAACACCACATTTGTAACGATCGCCGCGCGGGATGTATGCAAAACCAGTGCGAATGATACGCTCTTCGGGACATACGTCTGGCACCAAGGTGACACGGGCCACATGAATGTCATTGAATGCCAACAAATTTTCGTGCTCTTGATTGAAATGTTCTATCATACGGCAGTCGTTGATTTGAAAATAATCGCACAATTGACAAATGAAACCATCCAAGGCACAGCCCACCACTACCTTGCCAAATACATCGATGATTGTTTCGTCTGAACAACTTTTGTGCTCTGATCGTAGCGAAAATTCAACGTTACATTCAAAACAATAGAACTGCTTTTCGTCGGTGTGCTCGAGGTAGTGATGCTTCCAATCATACCATGATAGCGACAATTTTTTGTTGCACAGCACACATGGACCAATTAAGACACCGTCGTGAAACTGGAATTTTCCACGATTTTGACGCAATTTTTCCAACAATGTCAGTGACCGGTGAGGTTGACGGCAATCTGGAATGGGGAAAGAGAAGTTTAGGTATTTTTTTTATTCTAGAAAAAAGTTCCCAAGAACACATTTTGCCTTAATTGTCTGAATAAACTATGCCTTTTATAAATCACCAGTGTCTAATGCATTCAGTTGACACTGGGTGTCACTAAAAAAAATTCACTTTAAAAAAGTGCATTATATCAGCAATGGCCATTGATTTGTACAAAAGACACCATTTGGTGATGAATGGCAGTATACACTGCGTAACTTTTGCTGATTATTTCGGTACAACGATTATTTCCGAACTATTGCTGATTATTTTCGCTGTCAAAATTTTGCGAAGAATTGAAAATGATCTGAATTCAGAGAATTCGTTAACGAGCAATAATTATTGTTCGATGAGGTCGCTCCAAAGGACCGATGTCCCCTTTGGTAGATAACAACCAATAATTACCTTTCGAGTCATGCTTCCGCCTTTTTGTGCTATCATTGGAATCGACACTTTCTTCACTAAATCGCCTTTTCTTCACTAGATCCATATTGTCACCACCCGCTGAACTGGAACGCTGGAATTATGTGATCAGTCATCAAATTAGCGTTTATATTTTCTATTGAACTGTAATTCAATATTTGTGCACTGTAAAAAACTTCAATCCCATCAATTGACTTCGGATGAAATTGATACAGGCACATTTGCTTTGAGATAGAGTCAAAACATTGAACAAAACACATGTTGAACATGAAATTGAACAAACTAATAAGATCACTATCACCGTCAAAATGGGACCATACCACGACAATACCTTTAGATTCAATGTAACCTTCAAATTATACGAAAATTACCACATTATTTACTAAAAAAATTATATTACATCACGATTTAATTGGAAAAAGTGAGTGAACTGTCTGGCATGCAATTGTCAATGAGAAAAAATGTGCTGCTTAGACGAACTGCGTAGAATGAATGACGTTTCATCACACAGGCACGTATTGAATGTGTTAGAGAAGGCCAATTATTCACAGCAACGCACACAAATAGAATTTAACGATACAATGAGAAATGCAAATGTATGGAACGGCGTCGGTTCACGGTAATATGCAAAGTTAGCGAAATAGTAAACCACAGACGAAAGGAATGAGAGAAGAAAGAATGAAAGAGAGAAAGATTCGTAGCATGTTATGTTTGCTGATTTATTTTTGTTTATATCAGAGAGTTGAACGAAATTTCATGTTGAACTACATACATACTACATGTACTGTTGAACTACATTCGGAACGATGGAACTGGAAATTGATAGCAAAACGAAAATACATGAAAAGTTCAATATACTCAGTTTAATGCTGAGTAATTTGTCGATATTGATAGCACTGATTGGATACCCTGTTTCAATTACATAATGCCGGTTGATATCTGTCTCTCTATGAAGTTGCCACTCAATATTGAATTTGGGTTTATAAGGTTCGTTAGTTCGCCTTTGCGTTGCGTTCAAATCCATCTTATCTTGTGATTGAAATAATCTCCGTGTAAATAAAATACGCATTGGTCGTTAACTGTGCTACATGAATTGGAAGGGTGTGAATTTCAGCACAAATAAATCCGCATTGTTTTTTAATGGAGCACGGTTGTATCAAAATAGAGATCTATCATTCGAAATCGATGATTAATTTACGATCCCATGCCAACGGGCGACTTCGTTTTTAATTAATGCAAACAAAAGGCTATGTAAAAAGGTACAAATGAGAATAAACATAAATCCCATACAAATGTTGTTGTTTTTAAATTTGTTCGTAAAAATGCATCTTACTTGTTGTAAGGCTCTTTATTTGAGAACATAATGCGTACAGTGTAATACTTTTAAGGTAAATAACATTAACGGTGAATGTCAAATAGAAATGCCATAGGTTGTGTGCGATTTTTCAGTGTAAACTTGGAAAACTTGGAGGCGATATCATATGTTGTATGGGTGGTGCCATTAGAGTCATTTTCATGGGCGATGGAATTCCAGCCGATATGGTAGTTTTCTTTTGATATTTGATCATTTCAGGATTTGCATCAGTTACAGGTTGATAACTGTAAATGGACGCGGGATTCCAATTGACACTTGGAGATAGTTGATTCGTAATGGCTGGCACGCTTCCGATATCATAAAATGTTCCACTGCCTTTATCATCTAACATGCCATTCTTGGTGGTGCTACTTCCAAAATAATTATATTCAGAAACAACGTCACCATTCGTTGCCACCGTGAAGCCCAGACCATAGTTTTCAATGTAGTTGTTGTATACTAATATAAACAAAATAATTGAATAAATAAAAAATATAATAATAATACTAATAAAGTCGTATATCAATTACCATGGTAGTGCCCATAGCGAAACAGGCCCGGTGCTCTATTGCCCAAGCTTTCAAAATGGTTATTGCACATGGTGAGACGAACATCACCATCTGCCACTACATTAGTATCATCTCCCGGATGTCCAAAGATTAATCCAAACCTGTGGTTGGCAAAGAAACAATTGCTTATGGTCGCTAGACTGGCTTGTTCTCCGATATAAACTACAACAAAAAATCATAAAAAATTTCAATTTAAAAAAAACTTCATATATATCTCAAAAATTGACGTACGAAGTTTATCGAGACTTCCATCATCGGGGGACCATTTATGTCCAACGAAGGAGCAATGATCGATCCAATATCCGGTGCCATAGTTCAGATATAACTGAATATCATCGTTGCCCTTGTTGTTTGGCGAATGCTCAAACGCCAAGTTTTGGAAAACCTTAAACATTTTAATGAAAAGTAAGGAAAATGAACGTCACATCGAAAAGTCAAACAAACATACGATATTTGATGACGCTGTTGTGGCACGCAAGTAAATATTATACAATGTGGCTCCATTATTACTGACAATTGATTTGGCCGAACCCATTTGAACTTTGGTAAGGGATGAGGCTCTGATGTCGCGCTGGATCATCAACACCCGAGGAACGCTTTCGCCGACGTAATTTATAAGGTCTTGTATCGTATTAACCTGCACCACTTCACCTCCCCAGCCGCCAGTAACGTTAGCCGCTTTTGCAAAACCTACCATACCTGCTAGTTTGTCAGTTCCTGGAAGAGAGTAATACCCATTTTATACATTTTCTCGAAAAAATGCCGTTTTTTCTGGCTCATTTCAAATTAAACAACAACAATTTTTTACTGAATGGTGGTACCTGACTGAGTAACGGTTGGTGGAGCATTTCTTGAAATAGGTGCATATGGTGGAGGAAAGCTACCCGTTTGACCAAAGGGACTCGGATATGCATATGGATAAACATTCGAATTTTTATTCTTTTTTCTACAACAACCACAAAATGATGAACCCGAATCGTCATTGTCATTATACCAATCAGGCGCTGGATACTGTGAAATGGCGTCTGTGAAAAGAGATTCGATTTACTACCGTTATCTTTTCCGTTAGTTTCAATAGAATTTCGGTGAATATTTACCACGCGTTGTGGTGCGTACACCACCAGTCTTTTTGACTGTGCTAGTAACTTTTTTATCTGGAGTTGGAGCATCAATTTTGAGTTTACGATTTACAGTGCTACTAGCAGCTGTGGTTGTGGATTTGCGAGTTGCTGCATTTCCGGTGGTAGTGAAAGGTTTGCGATTTCCGGTACTTGTAGTAGTGCGACTAGTGCTGCTGCCGGCTGTGGTTTTGCGATTTCTTAGAGTTGAAGTCGTGGTGCCAGGTTTTTTGTCTGGCAGAGAGTTTGTAAGCTGTCGAATAAAAAAAATAAATATTTTTTTTACTCAAATCTAAATATTAATTCTTACTTCGAAAATTACTATTCCGATGAATAATAATAAAAAAAATTGGTGATTTGCCATTTTTCAAAGTTAACTGATACTTTCTAACTGAAGCTATGCGATTTATATACGTTTTCTTTGATGGAAAAATAAAAACATTTGCTGACGAAATTTAAAATAAACATATTAATAATATTCATAATTGAACATCAGTATAAAAAACGTGCGAGCGACAAAAAGTATCTCATTCAATGTGTCTCACATGCAATAATTCATCAGTAAATTGATAAACAGGTGTGTAGTTACGTCAATTGAATATAATATTCAAATTATGAATTTAACTATGTCAAAAACCACCACCTAGAGTATTTTTTGCTGATTGAATTTTAATTCAAATAAATCGAACGAAAAATGTTCTTTCACGATGAGAAATTAATTTTATACAAAAAAAAATCTAATTTGCACAAGAAAAAAACATTTTATATAAAAAATAAATTACGTTCTGTGACAAAAAAAGACAAATGTTTTGAAGAAGTTGTTATATTCAGTTGTTTGCATTATTATTTACGTCAATTTGATACTCATTCGATGATGCAATCATAATTTTTATAATGCGAATTATTTACTCGTTGAATTCCTTTACTTCAATATAAAATACGCAAAATCTAATTGTAAAATTAAGTATTGTTTCTTGGGATATCAGATAATAATATTTACTATTTACCGTATTATTACTTTTCCGCACACCTAGTGTTGGAAAGGTATTGTATTAGGCCAAAAAATTAAAGTCACCCAAAAACATGTTTTCTATGCATATTTAATGTAGAAAACACGATTGGAGATGATTTTGGGGCATATTAATGTGCGTCGCTGTGTGTGATGTGTCCTGTGTCCTGTGGCTCCTTTTTTTGTTACCGCGATAAGTCTTCTTCCAAAAACTCAATTCAAATTTTGAGTTTGCAGGATGATTTGGGACTACTAGGAGACGTGCTGATTAGTTTTTGAGCAATATCTGTTGACCGGTGTAATTTTCTTTTGGTCCGAATGGAGTTCACACATCCAAAATTCATGGATTTTTCAACCATTTTGGTGACACCATGGTTTCGTGCTCACACATGAAATTCAAAATTTGACTTTACGGGATGATTGGGCCCTACGAGGAATAGATCTGGTCAAATTTTCAACGACATCGATTTATTCGGTGTAAAGCTTAGACTCTGAAGAGGCACTTATGAGAAAAATGCCTTAAAATGATATTCTTTCAATTTCAACGCTGAAAGAATGTGTAGAGGGAGGTTTTTTGGCACGAGAAACCTGATACTGATGTTAGTTTAAAGATGAATCGTTTTCAAAAAAAGTTAGCTTCATTGTATTGCATTGAAAACATTAAATTTAAATCAAAAACGTGTTCACTATAAAATACATTGGTTTTTAATCGAACTCGTTCAAATTTTGGGAATTAGGCTCCTGTACTAATATCACTCCCCTTCTTTAAATCCCATTAAAAATCCGTAGCCACTCGGCAAATCATGAACAATCGATCGAAAGAAATCAGAATCTGGTTAAAAAAAAAGATCGCCATAAAATATCTTCAATCAGTTAAATTTTCATTTTATTTTTATACATATCCATGGTGCCATAACTATTTAAAATTCAAACATTTCAATTACTGACTTTGAAAATACCTTGAAATTAAAAGAAGTTTAATATCAGCTCATCAAAATATATTTCGATAAACGTACCTGTATTTCCACTCCTTCCTGTTCGCCTATATATAAAGTAAATAATAAAAAAAATCTTCAAAAAATCAATCCATTTTAATTTCTTTGTTAAGTGATGAAAATCTTTATTAAACCAATAGTTTCTTACAACCAGAACTATTTACAAATGTTGTTATTTATCAATTTATTTATATTAGAATGTAGAATTTTTTTAAGCCTCGTCAGTTTCACATGATTTTGTATTCTGTATAAATTTTAACAATTTTAATAAAAATGAATCAGAAAAAAAATTGTAAACATTTTCAAAACGGAAATGTGTATTTTAAGAAAACAAAATATACATTTTCAATATATCGGTCGCCCTTGTGATTTAGTTCCACTTCTAAAATCGTGTAAACTGAAGTCCATATACGATGCCCCGTCTCTTTTTGTTTTTCATTGTGTCGCCCGAAAATTTCAAACACGTACCCTTTTCAATGTTCATCTCAGCACTTTTGAAATAGATCAATGAACAGCTGGTGAACGGCAAGTTCAAGTCCAATTGAATTTTATATTTGATACCCCTGCGTATGATGATTGGTTTGTTCAGTTCAATGCAATTGTCTTGTTTTGCCTTCAATATAATCTGCTCGTCAACATACACAATCGATGACATGCCATTGGAGTTTCGGCCACGAATTTCAATGATTGTTAATCTTCCGGTCAAATCCTTTGTCATAGCGATCGGCCAATTTTCCAGGCGAAACATTTCCGCACAAATAATACCTCTCAGCAACAGTGTTGCGTTCACATGAAACGTAGTTGAAATTGGTTCGCCGATTTTGTGTTCCATTTCAGTGGCATCGTCGTATTCACGAATGCATCCAACTTTCGGTCTGGTGAGATCGCAAGCATCCAGGCGATTTTTTCCATTGAAAAATTTCGGTTTGTGTTCCTTTGACATAATCGCCAAAAGAATGTCTTGGTGCTCTTCGATTGGAAATAGAGATCGATTCCGAAGGAAAATCGGTCCAAATTCAATGATACTCATTGATGCAAAGCGAATGTCATAAAATAATTTACCAAGATGCTTCTCAACCAAGGTTTTTGTCACCGTTTTTTCATTGCTAACGGCTCGCACCCATTCCATACACGCTTTGAACACCACCGTTTCAGAGCATGATAACATTTTTAAATTTACAATACGTCTCAGTACCTCTAGGTGACAGTCCAAAAAAAAAGATGATTTGAATGTAGCTTCCGAGTCAATGGCAATGGTCATTTCACAAATTCGCTGCAATTTCGTTAGGCCGTAGAGAATGGCAAGCTCGTACACGAAACACACATTTTCTGTTGTCATATTGTACTCGAGGAATCGAGCACATGCCGAGACACATCCGGACATTTCGTATCTTTTTCCCAAATCGATAACAACTTCGATGTTGGCCATTGTTAATTTAACTTCATCGAAGTAGAAGAACCGAAGGAATTCCTGGAATGAATCGACGCTAGCATCATCAATTTGTACAGAATCTGTCTCTTTCCAGCGACCGTCGAACATAACACGGAATACATCACTCGATGCAATCAGGAGGTTTTTATGTGCTGGCAACTTGTCGAAACCACCATCCTGTGATTTAAACACAAAATTCACGTCCGATGTGTATTCATCCATATACAGTCGCTTTAGAGAATGCAACAGAGTTTTGTTGCCAAATTTTCGATTCGTCATCGGATATGCCCTGCTGGTAAACAAAACGGTTTTGATTTTTACACACAATGATCTTTGGAATGTTTGCGATAGAAACTAAGCGCCAAATTTGGATCTGTTAATAATATCGACTTGTCTTGAGTAAAATCACAAACAAACTGACGATTCAAGTGTACATTTTTTAACGATCACCGTTCAACCTTTTTTGAGTTTTACTAATGACTGCAATCTCATTTGTAATTTTCAATGTCCGTTGTGTCTTACTAATGAGACCAAATGATCCAAAATGGCAACACTTTGTCATTTCCTCTTTTGACACATTCATAATGCACACCGTGTAACTTGACAGCTGCAGCTATACGACGTTCTGGTACAGACTTGACGAGGCGTCATTAGGACCGAATCCTATTCAGATGTTCAACATGAACATTGTAAGTACCCAAATGTATGGAAAACTTTGTAAAGATAAAAATAAGACAAAAGTCCCTTCAAAATGGTGAAACATCATTTGCTTAACAACTTTTTCGTAATTTAGGGACTTTCGTTGAAGATCAACGAGTCGTCGAAGACGGCCGAAGAATTTGTTCACCTATACTACAGCAGTGTTGATGCAAAACGTCATGTAAGCACTGAAATTGTTGAATATTTTTATTTTTGAGGAAATTTGAAATTTTGAAGAAATTTTGAAAAAAAAAATCCCTTTTTGCAGCAAATCTCTCGTTTGTACATGGATAATGCGACGGCTATATGGAATGGAAATGGCATCAGTGGCAATGAAAACATTCAACAATTTGTTCAACGATTACCAAACACGAAGCACATGATTGAATGCATTAATGCACAGCCAATTATCGATGAATCGATACCGAGCCAAGAAATGATATTAATTGTGGTCTCCGGAATTTATCGCTTACACAACGACATGGCTGGAAGACCCTTTCAACAAATGTTCACACTATATGCTCAAGGCGACAAATGGAAAATTGCCATCGACAATTTTCGCATCCAAGATGCGCAATGGTCAATGTAATGTCAATGGCAGTGAATTTTTGGAATTCAAAACTAAAATCAAAGCATGAAGAATAAAAATTGAATTTTTTTTCATAAAATTGTAGTTTTTTTTTAAAACCGAGAAAAACTGAAATGATCACAATGGTGGACTATAGAGGTCTCTGTGCATCGAATGTATTCTGACATTTTGAGCCAACAATTTATTTTGGATGGTGACTAGACGCAATTGTGAAGCAAACATTTCAAAATTTTCATATTAAATTAATTGATAGATAAACAAAGAAAGGCGTACCAACAATGTCTCACGTACCAATTGAGGTTGCTGAAGAGGATGCAGCTGATTTGATATTTCCTGAAGGTAAATTTGATCCTTTTTCATGAATTAGTTTTGAATAGTATCCCATTTTTTTTTGGTTAGAATTCAAAAACGCTGAAGCATTGATGATCAGCGAAGTGTTCACCCTGTTGGATAAGCGCAAGAAAGAAAATGAATCGCGTGACGAAGAATTGGACCTGTCAGAGGTTTTTTTGAAAACAATCACGTACACCGATCTCTTTCGGAAGTTCAAGAACGTTGAAACAATGGTCGCCGTTCGAAGGTAAGATGAATGTTATACAAATCGAAATATATCTTCCTGAAAGTATTGTATGATTTAAATAAATTTTGTGTCGTACACAGTCTTCTGAATCAGATGAAATTGCACAAATTCGAATTAGCTGTGTTGGGCAACCTATGTCCAGATGCACCAGAAGAAGCAAAAGCATTGATTCCAACACTTGACCGCTTCACCGATGAGGAGGTACAAGTACTCTTGGATGACATCGGCACAAAACGCAGCCTGCAATATTGAGCTGACTTTGTAGCCAAGCAGTATTGAATCAAAAATATGATTAATTTTCAAGTACTGAATGTTTTTCTTTTCATATTTCAATAAAATCTGCTATAAAATGAAAACTTGGTGATGAATTACTGAATTAGATACGCTACATTGGTGATCGATCCGAAAAAATTGACTCTAAATGAATCGAACATATTTTTTTGGAAATTGTCTTTATACCTCAGCTACCGTTGCGACCACATGTTCAATTTTGGTAGGCTGAAGGTGTAGTGTCATCGAGCTATAATGATTTTTAGTTGCTCCGAATATAAATATTTTTTGATAGAACGGTAGGATAAAAACGGTAGCAGTAGAGGTTCAGCTAGGTTTACACAAATGTCAGCACAACTTGAAAATTTGCACTTATTAAATTAGTACTGGATTGATAGTGAAGTCAATAATCAATATCTTACGGAGAATAAATTAGTCTGAAATAATTAATTTGAAAAACTTTATGGTCGAGATGTCTTTTTTTCATTTTGCGTCAAGAGAACTCCCATTAAATCGACAAACAAATAATTAAGGTTCGATTTTCTCTTTATTCGACGAATTTAAATATTTATTTCATTGAATCATGAATGAAGGCCATACAATGATTTTTGGATAGGATAGATTCATAAGATCTCCGCAAGATCCGGATCCAAGCATGCGTACGCTGCCGCATGATGCATACCAAATGATAATGATGCATGCAAATTCGTTCTTCTTATTTCGCCTACTTTGATTCGCATGCCATAGCAATACGGAATAACGAATGTATATATCATGCGGCTACGTACGCACGTTCGGATCCGGATCTTGCGGAGATCTTACGAATCTATCCTATCCAAAAATCATTGTATGATGAAGGCATAAATTAAAATCATATTGCATGAGTATTTAACATTCAAAATGTATAGCTCTTTAAAAACCAATCGTAATCATCATTCTTGGTTGTCATTTCCAAATGTCACTTCAATTTTGTGGAGGATGAGATCGATGCGAAAGCCACACGGTTTGCATGGTGAACACCATTTGTCGACCTTCCAATTCGGTATTTCTCGAGAGAGTTCGTCAGCCAGTGCATTGCGCCTTTCAACATTCCCATACGGAAATCGAATGTTTAGCTTACGTAACGTCTTGCATTTCACGATGCATTCTTTCAAAATATCCATATTGATAGCTCTATCATATTCCGTAATGATGATTTCTTCCAAATGTTCAAGTTTGTTAGCAAATTGTTGTAATTCAACGTCGATATCACCATACAGCCGGCCAAGATTAAAATCCAGTCCAACCAGTGTTTTTGCGTCGACTACAAAGTTCATGACGGCCACTTTGGACTCGATGTCTCCATAAATTTCCAGGGTTTCAACAGCGGGGAATGACAACGGGATGCTTTCGACTGGTTTCGTTTCATGCAGACGAATAACGACATATCGAACATGCTGAAAATGAATGACATCGATTGCATTGGACATGTCCAGGTCGTATAGTTCTATATGTTCTAATCGTGGCATATTCTTATTGGCAACGTCCAAAAAATGCATCACATTTTCCTTTACACTGCCATAATGGTGGAGTAAATTTTCTAACTGTGGATTTGAATACATAAAATGTTGACATTTGAGGCTGAAAAGAAGCAATATTTTGAATGGTGGACAGATTTTTTGATAAAATAAGCGTGTTTCTCACCCGTTAAGTCGTTTGGCCGCCGCAATGATTGTCTGTGATACGATTGAACTGTTGTGAAAGTGTTGATGGTCACCGAATCCACGTTGGTCAACAATCAATTGACAGACATTTGGAAAGAGGCTGGTGATATCAGCGATGTTCGAGGTGATCAAACAATTTTCAAGCCAAAGACTTTCACACTTTTGAAATTGTTTTCGAAGCTTAAAAAATGCATCGCCATTGCTTTGCTCTAACGTTAAATGCAACAGTGCACTGCATTTATCCATTATCAATCGTTCGATGGCTCTCCAGCGTCGAGCATCGGTCGTTTTCTCTTTTATTGAATAGTTTATCTCAATGCGCGTCAACATATGTCCAATTTTGCGAATAAATTGTACTGCGTCATTGCAATGACATGCATCAAGTGGTATGACACGAAAATCAACCGCATTGTCATCACGAATCTTTACAGCCACTTTCAAGTCTACTGGAACTTTTTTGATGGGTACTTCTTGCATACTCAAACACACTGTCATGTCACCATATTTTTGGCCGTACACTTTGGCAGCTATCCGACCCATTCGGTTGTTTAAATTTATATCAATCAGATTTAGCAATTGATTGATTGTCATGAGTTCCATCTCGCTCACATCGATTGTCTTTGGTCGTTTAGCATTTGACATTATTGTTTGGATGTTCCTAAATGGATTGCACAGAATTTATAGAAAAGTTTTTTTTTTTTTGAAATAATATTGCGCACGGAATGACTTACAGTATTTTTTGTATGAATATGTTTTCTTGGTCGGTATCAACCGTGTGTATAATGAAAAACAAATGCTATGTTTATGTTCAGCGTATGACAGCCGACTCACCAATACATATTACTTTATGTTGTTTACATTGGTATTTCATACTTTTGACAGTGTTATTTACACTTAAAATGTTTTTGAAAAATATCGCTGTTTAAGGCGATACTTTACACAACGTTTTTTCATTTTATTTTTTCTAGTTATTTCCCTTATTTTCTTTGAATGAGAAAATGCAAAAAACGAACATTTTAATTCGAAATATGAATCATTTAGCAGTTGTGTGAACGAGAACTAATTCGGATCAGTTTCATATGTCACGGAATACGCGGTGAACTTAACATCAAAAGCAACAACAAGTGTGTAATTCATCATTCACTATCAGAGCAGCTATCGGCAGCTACTTTCGCAAAACTTTACTTATTAAGAACCAAAAATTACGGTAAAATTACATTTCATTTTTTTTATTGGATTTCATTCAGTTATTCTTAATATCGAATCTTTATATCGAATTTGGATTTTATCTTTCGCCAGTGTTTAGTTATCATTATGCGTCGCATTCGAAGAAGAAGAGGCAAGATTACGGCAAGGATGAGTACATGCGGAAAAGCCCCATCATCATTGAAACGACCCAAATTGGACAATGGTAGTACGATTTTCAAAGTTGTGCCAAACAAACGAAATCATACCGCATCTATTTTGGAGCTCAATGACCATTGCTTCGATCATATATTCGATTGGCTATCTGTGAAAGATCTAAATTCATTTAGTAAAACATGTACACGACTACAACAAATTGGCGGGCAATATTTTCAACGCAATTATCGTGATTTGATTCATTTTGATCATGAAACACCTTGTTTAAACAATGTCAAATATATTGATAGTTTCGCTGGTTTTTATCAAAATATTGTCATCGCAAAAGGTGATGAGTATAAAGTATATGAATACATCAACTCACACCACAATCAATCGATTAAACGGATTAAATTCACAAACTATACTCTAACAACACACAAAATCAATAACATCAGACACATTCTGGATGATGTAGAAGTACTACAATTATATCGTTGCATCATTGCAGATGAATTATATGAATGCATTCTGGGACAGTGTGTTAATTTGAAAAATTTGAGCATTGATAACGGAGCATTCGAACTATTTCCAGAAAATGACAAATGGCTGCAAAAAAAGTATCCAACACTCGAACACTTTGAATTGATTGAGTTGACACACATCGAATCACAATGGGAACCGAAAATGGACCAAGTGTTAAAGTTTCTTGAGCTTAATCCAAATATACGAAGCCTCAGTGTTACTTCTAGAAATCTGATGAAATTTGTCGATCTGGTGAAGGAAACAAACATACGACTCGATGAACTTACAGTCACTCTCTCATCGCAGAAATCAGGTCAACACGGAATAATAAAACCTTATGTTAAACAGACAGAACTTATAAGTCTTCTAAACGGATTGTATGAACTCGGCTTTTACAAAAGATTAAATTTATTGAATGTACCCCGATTGGACAAAGAAATTGTTGCGGTGAATGGATTTAAAAGTGTCTATCCTAGAATATTAGATAATTATGTAAATCTGGACAATGTTAAGGAACTTTGGCTTAAATGCTATTTTATGAATGAAATTAACAAAACCCTCGATCTTGTCGCAGCAAAATTGGTGAATCTTGAACGGGTCTGGTTGAGTAAATCATTAACAGCTGCAGATGAAATTGCGATATTTGTAAAATATGCACCAAAATTGAAGGAGATTTATGTGGGTAAAATGTATGGTAAAAAGCTAGACCTGACAACATTTAATAAGGAACGTGAAAAACTACGAGGTGCCAGAAAAGTCACTATTTACGTCGATGAAAAAACTTTCTTAGAAACAAAATGGAATAACAAATCAATAGATCTCAGCTTGGTCACATTGAAACGCAAAGAATTGTATCAATTCAAATATTTGTATCCATTTGACAACGTATAATATCGATTGTCATGATTCTAAATCGATTTATAGAGATAATTTATTCATTCAACCCAATTTTATGATTTTATTCAAAACATTACACAACAATTTTGATTTTATTATGAGAAAACGAAATGGAACTTTGTAAAATTCATGGATATGAAAATAAAGTGCCTGGTGCAAGATATCAAAGTAAACGGATGATCAATATTCTTTATTTGGAATTTTCAGACTATTTTTGGCATATTTTTTTACATACATTTTGTTTGATGAGGATGTCTTTTGACACAGTTACTTTTGACTTGAAAAAAGCACAAAAATTGATACGATCATATGAGAAGAGCACCAAAGGTAAAATTGTTCTGTCTAGTGTTTTCTTGGTCGGTGTCAACAGTGTGTATAATGAAAAACGTTTATGTTCAGCGTATAACAACATATTACTTTATGTTGTTTACATTGGTATTTCATACTTTTGACAGTGTTATTTACACTTAAAACGTTTTTGGAAAATATCGCTGTGTTTCGATACTTTAAGCAACGTTTTTTCATTTTATTTTTTCTAGTTATTTGACTTATCTTCTTTGAATGAGAAAATGCAAAAAATGAACATTTTAATTCAAAATATGTATCATTTAGCAGTTGTGTAAACGAAGACTAATTCGGATCAGTTTCATATGTCACGGAATACGCGGTAAACTTCACAGTGTGTCATCATTCACTATCAGAGCAGTTATCGGCAGCTACTTTTGCAAAACTTTACTTATCGAGAATCACACATTACGGTAAAATTACATTTCATTTTTTTTTTATTGGATTTTATTCAGTTATTCTTAATACCAATTGGTGACTTTATATCGAATTTGGATTTTATCTTTCGCCAGTGTTCAATTATCATCATGCGTCGCATTCGAAGAGGTACAGGAGGCATGACACCGAGAAGATTACAACCTCGGGCCATCATGGAAGTAAGAGATGTGGCCGGAATAAACACATCAGCAGACAAACGATTGGCACCAGAAAAACCGGTTACCCAACGAAAACGACGTAAATTGGACAATGATGGCACGATTTTCAAAGTTGTGCGAAACAAACGAAATCATACCGCATCTATTTTGAAGCTCAATGACCATTGCTTCGATCAAATATTCGATTGGCTATCTGTGAAAGATCTAAATTCATTTAGTAAAACATGTACACGACTACAACAAATTGGCAGGCAATATTTTCAACGCAATTATCGTGATTTGATTCATTTTGATCGTAAAACACCTTGTTTGAACAATGTCAAATATATTGATAGTTTCGCTGGTTTTTATCAAAATATTGTCATCGCAAAAGGTGATGAGTATAAAGTATATGAATACATCAACTCACACCGCAATCAATCGATTAAACGGATTAAATTCACAAACTATACTCTAACAACACACAAAATCAATAACATCAGACACATTTTGGATGGTGTAGAAGTACTACAATTATACCGTTGCACCATTGCAGATGAATTATATGAATGCATTCTGGGACATTGTGTTAATTTGAAAAATTTGAGCATTGATAACGGAGCATTCGAACTATTTCCAGAAAATGACAAATGGCTGCAAAAAAAGTATCCAACACTCGAACACTTTGAATTGATTGAGTTGACACACATCGAATCACAATGGGAACCGAAAATGGACCAAATGTTAAAGTTTCTTGAGCTTAATCCAAATATACGAAGCCTCAGTGTTACTTCTAGAAATCTGATGAAATTTGTCGATCTGGTGAAGGAAACAAACATACGACTCGATGAACTTACCGTCACTCTCTCATCTCAATCAGGTCAATACCGAATAATACCTTATGTTAAACAGACGGACCTCATAAGTCTTGTAAACGGATTGTATGAACTCGGTTTTTACAAACGATTAAATTTATTGAATGTACCCCGATTGGACAAAGAAATTGTTGCGGTGAATGGATTTAAAAGTGTCTATCCTAGAATATTAGATAATAATGTAAATCTGGACAATGTTAAGGAACTTTGGCTTAAATGCTATTTTATGAATGAAATTAACAAAACCCTCGATCTTGTCGCAGCAAAATTGGTGAATCTTGAAAGGGTCTGGTTGAGTAGATTGTTAACTGCTGCAGATGAAATTGCGATATTTGTAAAATATGCACCAAAATTGAAGGAGATTTATGTGGATAAAATTTATGGTAAAAAACTAGACCTGACAACATTGAATAAGGAACGTGAAAAACTACGAGGTGCCAGAAAGGTTACTATTTACGTCGATGAAAAAACTTTCTTAGAAACAAAATGGAATAACAAATCAATAGATCTCAGCTTGGTCACATTGAAACGCAAAGAATCGTATCAATTCAAATATTTGTATCCATTTGACAACGTATAATATCGAATGTCATGATTCTAAATCGATTTATAGAGATAATTTATTCATTCAACCCAATTTTATGATGTTATTCAAAACATTACACAACAATTTTGATTTTATTATGAGAAAACGAAATGGAATTTTGTAAAATTCATGGATATGAAAATAAAGTGCTAAGTGCAAGATATCAAAGAAAACGGATGATTGATATTATTTATTTGGAATTTTCAGACTATTTTGGACATACTTTTTTTTACATACATTTTGTTTGGTATGGATGTCTTTTGACACAGTTACTTTTGACTTGAGAAAAGCACCAAAATTGATACGATCAAATGAGAGAAGCACTATGATTATCCTCTGACACTATAGGGGCTAAACAAATCTTTATTGATGGGAGCTTTTGAGCAAAAATCTTCCCTGCCAAATAATTTTGAACCGAATGGAATCAAAAAACTAGTTCAACTTTTTACAATCGACTCTTTGCGGGACGCTCTCCGTATTTTTGACCACCGCTAAAATCTCAGGCACCTATTGATTGAAAGACATCTAGTGGACAAAATCAAGCTAATGAACAATTCGTCAAGCAATATTATATTTATTTTATCAATTCAGTGTTTACAATAATGAAATGTATATGATTTGACACAATACTATTTTTGTAATAATAAAAATGTAAAATAATTGTTTTTTTTTTTGTAAATCGAAAATCGCCGTAATCATTCCCCTTGAATGATTTTTTCGATAAATTGTTTGAATGCATCAGTGTCATCATGCTGTGTTCCGCTTAAATTGCGTTTGTTCAAAATGAGACCGTTGCCAAAAACGACATTTGTTTTCCAGTACAATTGTTGCATGGTTTCGGTAAACATCGCTCCAATATCGTTACCAATGTCATGTTCGTTGACGCTGTGTGCTGTCAACTCGTATCGATCAAATGTTTCAAAATTACATACCGTACAATTCAACGGTGTTGGATGCAATTTCAAATGGGTAAACAATTCTGTTTCTTCGACTATTGCTTGGCAACAACCAGCCATAACATGCATACCATGGTTGTCATAGAATTTTTCATAGGTCTGTTTGAGTGTTGGATGTTGGATTTAATGATGCATTTTTAAATCGTCCTTTGTTTCAAATACCAAACGACAGTGTCCGCACATCCGTTTCTTTTGTCCCTTCATTTCGACCATTTCCTTCAATCGTGCCTCGTCCAATGCCACCGGACAAAATGGCTCGGCCTCATCCAGTGCCGCCACCTTATGTTGTTGTTGAAAATGTGCGTCCAATTCACCGCTGTACTGACATAAGCCGCATTTATTTGCGCCGAAAACATCAACAACGATCAACGTTTGTTCGGGGTGTGTTTGGCATTGATGCAATTTCAGAGCGTGATAGGTGCCCATCACGCCGCAATAGTGGCACTTGATGTTTTCAGCGGTGATAAATCGAAACGGTTGCGAGTGCGTGGAAAACCAATGACTGAACACCTCTTGACAGTTGGCGTAGCCAACAAAACGGCCATCATTTTGATAACAATGGTAGCAATAGAACACGGTTCGAATGGGTTGATTATTGGTCTGGTTTTGTTCAACGTTCTTCAGAAACAATTTACCCAATTTGAAAATCAGCGAATTCTTTTGGTGCGATTTCGTAAAATGTTTTATGAGCGACACTTGGTCAGGGTGGCCCTCGTCGCAATACAAACAATCAAATGATTGACACAATGGCAGTGCATTTTGGCGATACTTTATGGTCGTCGTTGATCCAGTTGTAGTACATTTAATCAATGTATTGACCGTAAAGGTGATGCTCAACGACTGGTGGGCATTTTTGAAATGTATCATTCCATCCTCGATGGTGTAGTAAACAGCAGTACATGCGTTGCACTGGAACATCATTTGGACTTCTTCGATTGTTTCGGCCGTGGTCGAACCTTCACGGTGCCGATGATGGAATACCATCTTTTTCGAAAGATGCTCGGAAATGTTGTGCAAAATGACGTCACGCTCCGTCGAAAAGTCCGAATCGCAATATAAACACGAAAACAGGTGTTCACCATGTAATTCCAGATGATTTGTTACATCATCGAAAAATGAGTTCCCATTCGTACTGATCACCTTGCCGCAATGCAAGCAACCAAAAGACTCCTGTATTTCGGCATGATGTTTCTGGAGATGGATCCTAAAATTGGAACAAATTTAGCATGGTTTAAGAAAAAGAACGATTAATTTGAGTGTTTTACCCAAAATTATGGCACGTATCCGACTGGTGGTCACACCAACCGACCCCACATTGAAATCGAAGTGCTTCTTCAACGTATCCAATGTTCTTCGGTGTTTGTGATGTCAACGGAGTCAGATCAGGTATCAAGATAACTTCTTCGAAACCATGTTCAATTTCATCGCCAGACTTTTCATGTTCGGTCTTTGGATGTTTTTTCAAATTATTCCGGTCGATTTGAATGTAATTGCAGAGATTACACATGAACCCAAATAGTTGCCCGTCGTCGGCAATTGTGTTCAGCAGTGTATCTACTTCACCAGTGTGGTACAAAAAATGTTCGATCCAATCGGTAAATGACATTCGTCGCGGCAATTCGCAGATGAAGCACATGCCCGTAATTTGTCCGGACTTCGGCATGAATGTAAATGCTTCGGTACGGCGACGGATATTTGCAGCCATTTTCGGGGATGGCCGAGATACGTACACTTCCGATTCGGGATGAATTGCTTTGTAGTGATCGATTAGATTTGTCGCCAAATTTTTACAAAGCATACACTTGAAGCGGTGGGACGCATTGGTTAGGTAGATATCTGGATCGATGTTTTTTGGTTTGGTCCGTTCGGAGATTTCGCCGTCTTCTGTAATGAGATTTTGTTAGTTTTAAGAGATAATTGCGGTGCTTGGCACAAGTCGAGCTCTCTTTGAACTCGTTGAGTCCATATTTTTGCTTTAGCCACGGTGTATTTCTAACAAACAGGCAGCTAGCCGAGAATAAACTGTCACCAACTGATGTCGGGACATCTCATTTGAAAATGGTGTAAAAACATTTTCAATGGCTTTGAGTAGGCTGTACTGTACCCAAGCATATTCACCGAGTCCAAAAATAGTTCAAATAAAACTTACCCAATTCATTTTTGACTTCATCCGGCGCCACATTGTCTTCCTCATCATCGGTTTTTAGTTTTTTCACCTTCTTGTCATCAAATTCGTGTGGTCGCTTATTACCGGCCATTTCCTTCACATTTTCATTTGGCTGGTCATCAATTTTTGTGCTGTACACAGTTTCCACCGTCGAATCACTATAGTTAGACGTATTATGTTCGGGTGATTTTTCGTTCTTTCCGAAAAATTCCATGTTTTCACCATCTGCCCTAATATTCGTCAATGTTTCATGGCTAGCGTTCAATGAGCCATTTTTTCCATTGTCACTGTCATAATCTTCGACGATTTTCAATTCTTCCATTTCCCAATCACCGTCGTCGTTTTCTTCGTCGTCGTTTTCTTCTTCTTTGCCTATGTGAGTGATAGTCTCATCAATTCCAACTACGGATGGTGTCTTCGGCATTCCATCGAATCCAATCGGCATGTCTGGCCTTGGATCGGCCTTTGGCGAATCAACCGGTTGTTCGTCCATCTTCGTAAAAAAGTCCACCTCAACCTTTTTGCACGTTGCAACCAATCTGAAATTGAACAATTTTATAGCTGACAAATTTTCAATTGTGGATATATGTGCGATAAACATACCGATAGCTGATGTAATCGAAAAAATGCGTCATCAAATTAACATCGTGTGATTGTGTGTACGATTCAAAGGTGCGTGACATCTGGTACAGTTCGGTTTTAATGCGATCTTCATGTGTTCGGAACAATTGTTCCAGGTCATCGGTTTTGTCGTTCATCTCTGGATGAATATCTATCGAATAAAACAAACTTGATTTCATGGACAAAAATCTTTTGTATCGGATATTGCGCAGTATGTAATGTAAGGCAATTTGATAAGGACAGAACATTCTAAACTAGAGCGTATTTACCTTAACCCACTTGTCGGAAAGAATATAAAATTGCTGTATATTCCTTTATTTGGTCAATATCTTGAAACTGATGAAAGATTTTCTATTTTTTCTGCAGAAAATTAACAATTTCAAGGAATTTTTAGCCAAATTGTCTGAACACAGTTTGACAGATCAATGTTTAAACAACAAAATGTACGACGTCACTATGTATCATCTGTCTCTTTCTCTCAATCACCGACCAATTAATAAGCGTCTAATGGTATCGCTTTTGTATGTATTGATGATTGTGACATGTAACAGCGCATTGAAGGGCTTTTGGTGTATTTTCGATGTATTGGTGACGATGCTACTGCTTACGTTGCATATAAATATGTAAACTGAAGCTCACACAAATACATGATTGACACTTTTACGCAGAATTAAAGGATAAAGATTAAAGAATGACAGTCAGAGAAAAAGCGAAAGTTCTAGAAATTTGAAAATAAGCCGCGCAGCTTGAAAAATTAAAAAATAAAATTAAAATCAACCGCTGATTATGCCGAAATCATTCGGAATTATTTTCTTTCTCCTTTTTATCTCATTAAAAAATTGACGGCAGAAAATTGAGGATTTTTTTTTTCAAAACAGAAGTCAATTGATTTTAACACGATTTTTTTATGTTTTTGAATGAAATAATTTCCAACAATTCATGTCAAAAATGAGAAAGTAATTTATTTTATTATTATTTAAAAAATAAATTCGATTTAATTGAGAATCATTCATCGATGAATATTTTAGCTAGCTAATTGTTTTTCAAGATTTAGCATGAAAAAATTATTCATTCAATGATGATAGCAAAAACCTAATGAGACGTACGGTTTTGTACAGGCTAGCAACAAAACAATTTATTAACATTATAATTCCCCGGGGTCATAGTGTCAAAGCAGAGCGGCTTTGAATAGGTTCGGCGACGGTGATAATAATTGTGTGGCATCATTTGATTAGTTCATACTGAATGGCAAAAAAAATATTCGAAATAAATTAGAATAAATTCTTTATACTGATGAAATTGAGAATAAGCTTGAATGAGTAAATAAGGCATTTTATCAAGTCGCTGTGAAATATTAAAAAAAAACGAGAGTAAATTTCAATATCAACTAAAGTCGAAACAAAGACATCATACAGCATCCAAACTGTTTCCAGAAAAAATTAGGATTAATTTTGTTTATTCAAATACTTATTGTTTTATCTCCAATTCAATTGAAGTTTTTTTGTTCAATATATTTTAAAAACATTTTCAAGCAATGATGTGTTTTTTGTTCCCATGAGAAAAAATCTGTGGATGGGAAATTCCCAGTGATGTAACAAAT